TTATCACATGCACGAAGCTGTAGGCCTTTAAAATACCAAAACCTAATAGCCTGTAGAAATCGAAACTTTACACAATAATTTAACGGTTGCAGTGGGAGAGAAAAGTTATAGAAGATTTTCATTTTCTGTGCCAAATATCACAATGGTTACGGTTGGGGCCAGAAATGTCCTATAAGAATCTATCACTATATTATTCTCTTCTATAGAAAAACTGTTTCCCCGTGATGAATCATTTTGGGAACATATGTGCGGTTCGATGATCGCTTGCCTTATTTGGAATTTATTTGCCTACATTGGTTACCGGCTCATAACGTACCCAGTTTACATCATCCGGGAAAGACGACAAAGGTGGGCTATGCTATAAAACAGTTTATAGAGACCTTTAGATTCTAAGACTAGGACAACTACGAGGACGAGGTTTTCTCAATAGGGAGTTTAAGAAGCGACGGTTTGGAGCGACGCAGGTCAATCGGAAGCGGGCTTTTTGCACTCTTGAGTTGTGATTTTGAACAACGTTTTGGGCAAATCGTCTCTATAAGAGACGTAGCAATACGAATTCGGTAGCATCAAGGCATATTAAATGAGAAAAAATCTCACTTCCGGTTGAGGTGCGTCGCTCCGACACGTCCCTATTACTATTAAGTAGTGCGCACGCGTGAGGCTGCGTCATTTTAGTGCGAAAACGTGATATCCGTCGTCATTCTATCTGCTTCTTAGCAAGAACGTTGTATTGGCGGAAACAAGGTATCAACGGTTAGAGGCTTGGTCATTTGCGATTGGGAATGAGCTAAACCTTCTTCAAGCTTTCCGGGCATATATTTTTATATGGAGAATTCGCGATAAAACTTTAAGTGAAATCTCGTCCTAGCAAAGGTCCTCATGTGTGTTGACACAGCAATGAATGAAGGACCTAGTTTCTTTAGAAACTGTGATGTTGCAGCGGTGGGGGAGAAAAACACAACCGTAATAATACGAATTTCGAGCGCCCGGCGCCAGCCCTTCGTCAGGCCGAATCACTCTCTCTGACTAAAGGCTAGCGCTCGAAACGTCAGCTTTTCGATCTTACTCGTTTGACCATACTTATAGTGGAATACAAAGACTTGGGGTGGCATGGCATCTGCCTCCTTCACAGGCTTTCCCAAGGCTCAGTGGGAAACACGCGAGAGCTGGAGACAAGCGAGAAGCAGCGCGAGAGGGGGGTGATGGGAACAAGCGTAGAGCGCAAGCGGGGAGTGATGGGAAGGAAAACTCCCTTTGTCCCCGCCTTCCTTAATAATTAACTCAAATATCCCCCAGAAAGTGATCGCGAGCGACTGGGGACGAGGCAGGCATGGCATGGTAGCAAAATATAATGCTTCGTTTTATTCGCTTGACAGAACGTTAAGTTACCAAAGTTTAATTTAGACAGGATAAAAATGGTTTTTTGTTCGCAGGCAAGCTCAGTTAGACAAGGAAGCTGCCGAGCGTCTTGTGGTTCGCCGAAAGAAACTATTTTGGAAGCGAAAGTCCAGGAAATGGCGAAGAAGACACAGGAACGGCTGGTAACTGATGTGAACTTTCTTTTCCTGAAAATCCCAGAACATCTTTTATGCAAAATTGTCTCAAATTCATCAGAAGTGATTGCCTGCGATTGTCTATTAAAGGGAATTGAACCACTTTGTGTTATCAATTTTTGTCGGTTTGTTATGATAGACCTTATTCAAGATACCCGCCATCTTTGCACTCGCTTTAGGATGGATGGGAAAAAAGCCAAGACACGGGTATTTCAGATTTCTTCGGAATTGGCAATTTTTTTTTCATTTGTTTGCCCCCTGAGAAACCACGTCACGTTACTTTTATCTTTCATTCTTTAGGCGCGTCCAAAGATGACGGGTATCGTGAATAAGGTCTATTGCCGGTGCTGGAAATGATTTAGGGAAGCGAACAAAACTAAATTTCCCATTCACCCTTGGTGGTTTCTTAAAAAGTGTCGCTGTTGTGTCATCTATATTGGAAAATGCCGTCTTTGACAAATTTTTCCATGACAAGTTTTCAAAAACCACAATTGAACTGTTCAATCTTTATAAATGTGTTTTTGCGTTCAACGAAAGAGAAAACTTACTACTCGAGTCTTTTTCCCGCGGGATTTACAATGTCCCGCGGGTATTGTTGTGGATGACATACGATTTCTCGGTTTGGACGCCATCTTGGACTGACTGGTTGGCTGCCATATCTGGCCTCTATCTCAACATTGGCGAGTTCTGTTTACTGGAGAGCTTTTTTGATCCGAAAAATTACTTTTGTCGTTCGCTTTCATTTCAGTTTAACCTCTTCATAGGAAAAGCTCCATTCAGATATCTAGATATAATGTTATGTTAACAATGTGTTCGGCACACAGTATTTGCTTTTATGGATAAGAGCTACATCAGCTTAGATCGAGCATCATATCCTATTGCAAATCCTATCACTTTATTTTTTGAACACTTTTTACAGTCATATAGCCATCGCTACCTTACTATGGAGTGAGAATACCAACTCATGCGCACCAATAGCAATGGCTTACCTCAATACACTATCATTTGAAACCACTCGCATCTCATCCTGTGTACATCCTTTGTATTCCATCCAGTCACCAACGCCTCGTTTAAACTGTAACTCGGAGGCAAAATCTCCAGCTACCAACAGACCCACACGTTTATCGCTAGTGAACAGTGTTTTAAGGGACTGTCCCGCCCACAACATTTGTAGCTTAGGTTCCTTGGGATTGCACTGCGGGCTAACTGTAGTAGCTGTGGTTGAAGTTGTTCTTGGCGGGCTCGATTCCTTTTGTTTTGGATGTTTAGTGCAGTATCCCCTTAGAACGCATCTAAAATGACAACAACTAAGGGTTACCTCCTACGTAGCCTGAGAAAACAGCCGACATTTTTCGGCGTAGTTTCCCCGCGAAATGACGTTTGAAGAACAAGCGGAGAAATTCCACACTGATGACGTATCACTACCCAGACCTAGGTATTGCTTCTGATTGGTTTTTCCGGGAAGGAAATTTGCCTTAACAAATCAGAAGCACTATACATCTGGGTAATGACTCGTCATCAGTATGGAATTTGCCCTCTTGATCCTCAGATGCTATTTCCAACTTCGTTTAAGGTTGTTTTACAACAATTCCCTTTAGACCATGTAAACTAACCGCTAGCCATCAAATTTTACTCAATTTGCTTTGTTTTACTTTGATTCCCTATCTTTGCTTTACATTACATCACTTCAACTCACCTCATTTTAATTCATCTTGCCTTATAGAAACTAAGACCTACCCTTTCTTCACACTTTACCTCCTTCACTTTATTTTATCCTATCCACTTTTCTTGATAACTAATACCAACATAAACTAGCTGTTCAGAGATCACACCCACCTTACTTTGCGGGGNCACTACCCAGACCTAGGTATTGCTTCTGATTGGTTTTTCCGGGAAGGAAATTTGCCTTAACAAATCAGAAGCACTATACATCTGGGTAATGACTCGTCATCAGTATGGAATTTGCCCTCTTGATCCTCAGATGCTATTTCCAACTTCGTTTAAGGTTGTTTTACAACAATTCCCTTTAGACCATGTAAACTAACCGCTAGCCATCAAATTTTACTCAATTTGCTTTGTTTTACTTTGATTCCCTATCTTTGCTTTACATTACATCACTTCAACTCACCTCATTTTAATTCATCTTGCCTTATAGAAACTAAGACCTACCCTTTCTTCACACTTTACCTCCTTCACTTTATTTTATCCTATCCACTTTTCTTGATAACTAATACCAACATAAACTAGCTGTTCAGAGATCACACCCACCTTACTTTGCGGGGACAGAACTCTTTATCTTCAGGGCAATCGATGTTGGCGCGACAAATACCATTCTCTCTGGAATGAAACTGTCTACATTTCCTCAGACGATTTTCCAAACATGCAGAAAAGGTAACCCGAAGTTGGCACAGGGCCGCATAACCTACACGAAGGAAAAAAGTAACATGTGTCAAAAGTATGCCGCCTGGTTGGCTCAGTTGGGAATGTGCGGGACGAGGGATGCAGAAAACCATCGGGATTACGGGTTTGAGCGAAAAGTTAAGTCCGGATGGGGGGATTAAACAACCCTATTGAGGACTATCAAATAACAGTGAATAACAGGTTCCAAAGCGATATATTTTTTGATACAATGTTCGTACCGGAAAATCAGTGTCTTCAATGCTATTGGAACGCAAAGAACGTTCGGGATTCGGGATTCGGGTTCGGGATTCGGGATTCGGATTCGGGATTTTCATACAAAAAGGGGGAAGCGAGGTTCGGGATTGAAAGAATGCAAGGGATGGGGGATGCCAAAAATAATCATCGGGATTACGGGGTTGAGGGTAAATTTAAGTCGGGATGGAGAGATTTAAAGAACCCTATTAGGGACTATCTAATGACAAGAAGGCACTTACCTGACCGGTTGGCAAACTGGCTGACATTGAAGAAGTTGAATTTTGTCGGTTTGGTGCAGTTGGAGTGTTTAGGAAGACAAGCATATTGGCGGTGACAAAACACATGATTATCATCTTCACACTTGGTTTCGTTAAATTCCGGTCTCTGGTCCCATCCGTCTTTTGGGTCACCCACACACCTCATTCGTGACAGTGAGAAATTCTTACCACTTGGACAGCAGTGACCAAAAGGAGAGCAGCTTTTGTTTTTCCGCTCTAGCCAATTTAGCATTACACCAAAAGAACAGGAGCTGTTAAGGGCAGGGCTGCGGGTGAAAAGTAACAGTTAGTAATAGACCCATTTGAATAGAAAGATCGAAAACTGATATCATTGAATTAACTCACACTGTCATAAATTCAGTTACTAGGGCATTTCTAAAGAAATGAACACTCTTAGCCTGTTAAGGTTTTCCTTCAAGTCTCTTTAAGGTATTTTTGTCGTGATTTGTATTTTTATTTCATGTTGCTTTTTTTTAAATTTAAGACAATAGTCAAATCTCTCTTAGATGGATGCTCAAATGTCCGTGTTAATAGAGACGTGTCAGGCTAGTAGAGAGTTAAGTTAGAGTAAAATGATGTAACATTAGTACCCCTTTTCTAAGGTGGTGGTACAAATGAAAACAGTGGGTGAATTAAGTGACATAACGAGCCAAGGTCACTGCTACTGGAGCCAGGAAGGTCTATACAGTACCGCAAATGATCCCCAGACCGCAATTGATCCCCAGAATGGACCAGAGATGATCGTCGACCGCAAAAGATCCCCACTATCGACGCGCGACCGCAAATGACCGGCGGCGTTTATTTGAAAATCACATAATCACATTAAATTGCCACAATAAATGACATGTATTATGTAAACAGAAAGATGTTTATAAGAGTTCCAATGACTGGCTTTTTTTTGTTTTGTTTTGTTTTGTTTTGTTTTTTTTTGCTGAGATAGAATCGTAATTGTCTTGATTATGTAGATTACGACGATGTACAGAAGCTTTTCGTATAATCCTCAAATAAACGCCGCACTGTTCTGATTGGGTGCCGCGTTTATTGATAATTTTCCTATTATATGCGGCTTTTATTCGAGGGCGCCGTTTAATCGAGAATATACGGTATATTATTCACATCGACAATTTAAAAGTAGGCGTGCCTAAAGAACTCTTGCATACCTCAGCAAACGGTGGCAGAATTTGTCCCCTGCCTCCAGGGAATGATTCGTCTTCCAAGGGATACTCTCACCATCCTTTTGACAAAACTTTTCATTCGCGTTGCAGTTGGAAATGCTATCGTTACGTATACAACGCATCGTAATCGGGCAAAAAACATGCCCACGATGGCATTTTCCTCCCCAGGGTTTCTCACTCCAATTTCCTTTTATTTTCTCTTCAAATTTGGCTGGATTAGTCCTCAGGAGACGGCAATTGTCATGAGTCTTTGTGGAGAAGCGACGAGCAAACGAGTGGAGTTTCTGACAGTAGTCCTCGCCTGCCATACAGTTAAGGTGTTTCTTGAAGCCGGTTTGGCGACAGTGTGCATCACGAGAAAAGCACTTTAAAAGCCCATCTAAAGTGCGTGCGAGAAGTTTTTTGCTGAGAAGGCAAAACGGAGCCCAACCTAGGGATCACAAAAGGGAGTTTAAGCAACGACGACGGCGACGTCAACGAGGAAGTCAAAGAAGCAGTAGCATTAGATTAGGGAAACAACAACAGCTTTGCACGTGCAGCACACTTTCTTGTATTTTTTCATTACCGTCAACACGTCACAACACAAGACAACGACTTTCTTTTTCTTTTCCTGAACATCGATACAATCTTTTAGAACTCAACTCCAGAAAAATCTGTCAACATTTGCCAAATAACAAATGGACGAATTAAACTAAATGGAACAAGCGAGATAACGTTTGAGGCAGCGCGAATTCACTTGTTAAGTAACTCACACCCACTCGCTTGTGCTAGTGATCAATAAATCCACCGCGGCTCTCATACGCACGCTTGACGATCTCTTAAGAGTAATAATAGAGGGTCTGTGAACAGGCTGTTAGCTGGCAGGTAGATTAACGCATTCAGTCCTTACAGCGATCAATGTAAAAGTTCAAGAGAAAGCAAAAAGCCCCATGCAAAAGTATTTCGGAGAGGTGTCGTTTAACTAGTATTTCACAGCTACCTATTCCGACACTCAAATTGACTAAGTGAAGTTATATATGCGCTGCCTTGCAATAAATATGGCAGAAGACTAGAAAAGTAAGGAAGACAGAGAGGGAATCTTACGGCGTTGGCCGGTCTATGTGAATGCTATTTTTAGAGGTTTTTATCAAACGGAAGTCTAATTCTTGAGACGTCCGCACATTTTTATCGATTATTTGAAATGTCTCCAAGTCCAGGCGCAAACAAATTAAGGCAAACAACGCAGAGTATTGTAATGCCAACTGTTGAATTCTCTCTTGCCAACACACTGAATAAACGTCTGAGGACCTCTCTGGAAACCAACTTCCCATTAAGCGTTCAGTAGGTGGTTTTCACGTTACGTCACTGTCGCCATGCTGGTGGACGGTAAACAAAAGATCGCTCATTGGTTCGCTTTGTTTGTCCACGAGCATTTGTTCATTTCACCATTGTTATTTGTGTCTCCCGAGATTGCATGAAAACCACCTATTGGTCTGAAAGTAACTTTGGCGAACAAATTCACATACTGTATTTACTCGAATAAGCGCCCAACCTCGAATGTGCGCCCACCTCGACTAAAGGAGGAAAAAGTTAATTAGCGCCCACCCCACCCCTTCCCGCTCCCACTCATTGAAACTGAATATGTACTTCCCTGAAGACGGAATTTTCTTCGGAGTATTTTACAGAAACCTTTCTTTGTTAGATCTTTGCGTTTTGTTATTACCATTTATTGTTTTGTTACAAAGTAAACATACTACACCTGCTGAAAATGGTGAAAATTTAATAAGCCCCCAGCCTCGAATAAACGACCCCTCCCAAGGTCCAATAATGTAAAAAGTGCCCAGGGCGGTTAATCGAATAAATACAGTATCTCAAGGACTAGACTGAGCATTTCCCTCCTTGCCCCATCATTCCATCTTGTTTCTGTTTAAACTTCTTTGCGCGTGAAACCATTGCTGTAAAACCCTAGTGACATTGAGATCATTACTTTACCTGCTTTGGTAAGATTACGAAGAGCATCATCTCTGATCACGCCTGTGAACAAAAGTACAAAGTGAATTTACTATGGTGGCAACATGGGAAATAATGACTCGTAATACAGCAGGGTAATACAAACGTGCTTAGCTGAAAGAAGCTATGTCACTCCATTTGCTGTCTTTTTTAAGGAAAAAACCTTTTTTGCATCAATTGAATTCCTCAAATGATGGCCCTGTTTTGTTATTTCAGACTATAGTTAGGCATTGAAACTGTTTCCTTTCGTCTGTTGCAAAGGATGGCAAGGATGGAAGGAGATAATACTTGAAAAATTTGGGCCACCGTTTTCAAGTTTTAAAGCTATGCCTGTAAAGACCACCAAAAAAGTTATTATGTTGAGTGCACCCTTATAATGAAATTTGTTTGCTACAGGAGCATTCTGTGTACGGGTTAAGGCACTAAGTAATGACTTCAGCACAGAATTGTCCGAGAACAGCGATATCCTGTACTTAACCCTCTAAGTCACAAGAGTGACCAAAGTCTATTTTCTCCTAACAATATCAGTATATAAACTAGAGAAGATGTTGTGAGAATTAATGGAATGATCATCTGATGGGAAAGCTTTGATCAGCAAACATATTCTCTCAACCAATTCTTTAAGGAAATGTATGGAGGTCAGTCTGGAGAATCTGCATTTGGATATTGGGGCGTAAAGGAGTTAAAAAAGAAGGCATCTTACTTGGCTCAAGATTAAGCGCAGCTTCACGAAGTGCAATGCTCATGTTGGCTCTCCGAGGGCACTCTCTCTCTTTCGAGCGGCAACTAACTCCGCATCCGAAACAAAGACGTTTTAACGGGTCGCAGAGAAACTTGGATGCTCGACGAGTTAGATCTTCAAATCCACTACCCTGTCCCCTGGGTCTGCAGTCAAACGTCGAAAGGTAGAATCTTGTGCCGTTACGACACTTCTTTCCTGTGGCGGAAACGCGGGTGTTGTTCATTGCCATCCACTTCATTACAGGACGATGAGAACACGGCATCTCCTTAGGAATCTCAGCGTTGAAAAGTTTGCAGTACTTAAATCCTTTTTTGGGCATTTTTCGGCAAGGAGACCAGGGTTCGTCAAAGTGATTTCCGTGTACCGCGGAGCAATTTTTTCCCATGGGTATGCATCCGTTACCCTTAACAAGAAAGCGGAAAGGGCAGAATTTGGTTCGCTTGGGGCATTCAAACTGTCGGGTGATATTCCGAAGTTTCCGTGCGAAACGTTGAGGATTCTCATTCATTTCGCAACAGTGGTCATCTAGATCCATCAGGCGCATCAGCATCCTTACGGCGTCCTTTATCCCAGCAGAATAAAATCTACCGCACTCTTTCGGACTCTGGCCACCCAACGAATCGTTTTCGTAATTTTCAGATTCAATAACCTCCTCGATGATCGAGCGATTAAACGATCTACCTTGCACCTTCCTCCTCAATAATCTAGTAGCATTTTGATCGTGTCCAAAGCCATTGCCCTGATCCATAGTCTGCTCTCCGTCCCGAGATCGGCGACGAGGTGGAGCAAAGGGGTTGCCACCGTCATCATCATCGTCATCGAGGTTGCCTGGGCCAAAAGAGTTACTGCCACCACCTATGTTGGCTCCTCCGCTGAAAGGGTTGCCTCCCCCACCCAAAGGGTTGCCTCCCCCGCCGAAAGGGTTGCTGTCGTTTCTTTCAGGACACGTGTTTCCAACAATGCAATTTAATTCATGTGGTGGACCACAGAGCGTTTCGTTTTGACCACAGCTTTGATCTCTACAACGAAACTGAAAGCGTGGGACACATCTCTGCTCAGCCAGGCAGTGGACCTAAGAAATAGAAGACATTTTGTGGTCATGTCTAAGTAAAATGGTGAGCAAGCGTCTTACACAATGTGATTTTCTCACACTTACTTGACCGCCCGTCGCGGACCATTCTAACAAAAAAACGTTGTCCGAGAAAAAAGGAATTAGAAAGTCCTGAGCAGTAAAAGTGTTACTTGAACTTTTAGAGGGATCTAAGCTATGTTAAGAAATTCAAGCTAATGGGATTCATGCTCCTTACAATAGACATCACGTAGGCCATGACGACTGCAGGTTCCGTTTAAAACACCAAAAAAGTTTTAAAACGTTTACGTAACTGAACTAGTGGCATGTAGGAAAAATACCGTAAAATTCCGAAAATAAGCCCCGGGGCTTATAGTTTTCAAAGGCTTATTTTTGGAAGGGCTTATATTTGGAAGGGCTTATCTACGGAGGGAAATTAGCGTTTCAAAATCGATTGGGCTAGCCTTATAGTTGGAACTAAACTTACCGTTTTTCCTTTGTTTTACTTTGTATTTGAGGGCAATTTTCCAAATACAAGCCCCCGGGGGCTTATATTTGGAGGGCCGATTTAACGGAGGGTTTTTTGTGTGACCGGTTTGGGGGGCTTATATTTTGAGGGGCCTATACATGGAGGGGCTTATTTTCGGAATTTTACGGTATCAAACTTTGAGCTGTGAAAATGACAACCATAGCTTTTTTAAAACACCCCTGTGCTTAGCTCTATCAAATTTCTATCGTTTGAACAAGTTGCAAGCATGCAGGTAACCATAGCAATGGCATTATTAAAACAAAAATTAAAAAATAGCAATGGTATAGTTCTTTAAAAAGCTCTTAGTTTAAGCTCTTAATTCTCACAACTCAAAAACGAACCATCAACTTGAAAATTCAGCGTTTCACAGGTCTTAAAAAATAGTCTGACAGCTGCGTACCTCCTCCACTGCGAAGCGTGGGTAAATAAATTAAATGCACTGACGTCTCCACCTAGCATCTGCTTAACAAAATTTTAGAAGTCTTCCTGTTTTAGAAATTGCCTTAACTTGCAGTAAAACCCAGCTGGCAATCCAGTAAAATGCCACTTAATTAGCAACTTCCATTATTGCAAAAAAAGTTGGACGTGTTTTCCCAAAATTGAAACAAAATATATCGCCGGTATTGTTTGTAGACGTTGCATTATTGGTTGAAGAGTGTCGATAAATTAAACTTTTCTTTTCTTTTAGTTTCGTAATTAACAGCACTGCCAGGATCATGGAAATTTGCGGACAAAATTCAAAACACCTGCTAAACTCGAATTCGGAATAGGCACTTCAACAGTGAACCCCAAACATAAACAAACAGAAAATAAAGAAAATAACAAACACGAATGAGTTGAAGTTATAACTTCCAAATCAATTTCGGATTTACTTGGAGCAAAATGAAGTCTAATACAGAACATATATTGCCAAAAGCGAAAAATTAGTAATTATTTTTTTTTATTTAGTTTTCAGGGATAAAATATATTACTGAGCTCAAACTGCAATATTTTAGGGTAAAATAGTGACCCAAAATATAAACTACGAGACAAAGGAATCTGAAAAATAAAATTAAGATTCTAAAAGAATTAACTTCAGAACAACAACATTCAAGGGGGAGGCAAGGCAAGGCTAAGTCGAAGAAAGTCGTAAGTTTACCACAAGCTCGGTCTTGAAATTTTTCAGTGAATCAAGTAATTTCGTACTGCAAACATCTCGGTGCTATGCTACACAAGGCTATAAATTTGCGTAGCGATTACAAATTTGCCGTAGAGTTTTCAAGGTCGGGATTCTTCAACTTGGCTATTACAGACAACATTGCGTCATCGACCTGACTAATTGCACCTTCGCAGCAGGTATCGAAGCCAAGAAAAAAGATGCAAGAATGAGTTTTTGATGACATCAATTTCTGTTTTTTTTATCAGGTTTATCGGACTGCACACTAAAATTGCCACAGAGCTTACCTTTCCTCGCACTTATAGTTTTCACTCGAGGTTTGATGAGAAAAATAAAAGATCGCCGGAGTTTGGACAATCTTAAGGATGGTTGTGTAAATATATTTATATGCCACACAGGAGGTGCTATCATAGACAATGGGGCAAAGGAGAACTTCTGCGTTAAAGATACCACGGGGCATTTGACAATAAAAGCTTCACTTTGGAAGAGACCAAGAAAATAACATTTCAATTGCACCGGTTACGTCTAACAAAGTCTAACTTAGGCCGCGGACTAAGAAATCATTGGACCTCCAGATCTCTTTCTTAGTGAGTAATTTTAAGGAGACAAGTGTTTCTTCGGTCTGCCCTGTTGGTTGCATGAAACTGTTCACGATAATCGGTGTTTAGATAAAAGCGTTGAGGAAACTGAAAATGGCTTAGAACACGGTTTTGTTAAACACTGGCTTCACTTCCATAAAAGAACCGACCTTAAACCGTTAAACAGTAAAGCATTTCACTCGTAAAAGACGACATAAAACAAAATCGATAAGTCAGTCATAGAAATTGCCCTTAAAACACGTGCACCCAAAATGCAATGATTAGAACACTCTTGAGACGCTGTTACAATAATATTGCCTTTTGCCATAGGACAAAAGAACCTTAATTGACTACAAGAAAATGACTTTTCTACGCCATTTCGTGGTAACGAGAACTTATGATGGAGCCTAGCAAGACGAGTTTGCAACACGGACGAAGACACGGATGCTGTGCTTACCTGATCGCTGTTACAGGGTGATCTACCTTGGCCGACAGCACCATCGAACAGTAAAATGAGCGCAAAACCGCAAAGGGCTGCAAAGGAAAAATGTTGAAATTAAGAAAGACAGCATCGGCGCACAACGCATCTCAGTTTACGTTCCACAATGGACATTTCAATTAGTTTAGGTTTTTTATGTCTAGTTTTTATACTAACCGGTTAACTGCATTCTTCTTAAAACAGTCTTCAACCAGGGATACAGGATCCTCGGACAGCACACTGAAATACACAGCCGTATATAACTTGACTCTGGTCAATACCCTTCACGGAATTGACAGGTGCAATGTTATTATGGATCTGAATACAGCGACTAGCACTCAGACAATAAATAATAAATAACAATTTCCCAGATTTCACCTGTGCTTACCATAAAACAAAGAGTCCCAAGGTCTGTACCGCTCGTTACCATGGTAAATTGCTGTAAACTAGTAACATATTTATTCAACTCACTGAACTTCAGTGGAAATTTCAAAGAAGCAACCATAAACATGCTGTTCAATGTTTATTTGCGTTGCACTGAAGTCTGTTTGGTTGTCATATTTTTGGAAAGACTAACAGAAAAAGGCAGTATTTGAATAGATTTCTCTTAAAGTCAATGCTTAACGTAAAGACTCCCGGCTCTATTTAAAACTACAAAATTTTCGGTGCTGATTTTGTGAACAAATGCTTGTTTCTTTCGCTGCAGTCATCGAATCTTCAACAAGAAATTGTTTGGGGGGTGGGCGTTGACATTAACTCTGCATGCCTATTTTATGAAAAGACAGCTCAAGATGCACGGCCAATGCTAATAAGTGTTACTGCTACGAAACTTGAATTTTAATGAGAGTTTTAAAAACAATCAAGAAATATTATAATTACAAAATTTCCCATGAGCGCTAGGTTAAATAAAAAGTATTTTTGCAACAACACTGTTTGCGGGCGTACATATTTTCCAGTTAAGCCGTGGGAGGAAAAAATGTGGTGGATAAAGTTTTCACCCGAACACTAGAAAATAAAATAAAGTTCCGTTAGGTTTTTCAACACTAACTTTTATATCGCGTTTCATGTTCCAGACATCATTAATACAGTTAATGTACATGTAAAAATCACGGATAAAAAACGACTTTTCGACCGATCTTCTGTCATTTTCAAGTCAATAAAAAAAAAGAGTGAAAAGAATTAGCATACACATGTGTAAAATGTGTTAAGAACTACAAAAAACGTTTGAAAATGATACAAGAATGAAATAAAGCATGCAGAAAAAAAAAATAGAATCTAATGAAAAGAGCTATTTAAAAACTTTTGCAGGAGGTGAGTCTGATTGTACATTAAGTACTCAGTTTGTTAATAAAAACAAAACATTTCAAGCACCAGGCAATCAACTTTGCTTTTACACTTCTTTAAAATGCTAAAATTATTTCTAAGATCTTTAAATTCTATTGTTGTTTTTTTCTGCATGCTTTATTTCATTCTTTACCATTTTCAAACATTTGTTATAGTTCTTAACTTATTTTTACACCTTACACATAAATCAGGGGCACCCATTGAGAATATACTTCAAAACCACTTAAACATAGCATTGTTAAACGAATTTTAGTATTTAAACGGTAGATATACGCATATTTTTATCCCCTAAAAATTTTTCATCTGTTCGGATTTCCTAGCTGAAAGTCTAGTGATCCGAAAATTATAGGGATCAAAACTTACCTTTTCGAAAATTTCAGCCAGAAAAAGGCTTCCGAAAATTCTAGGTGACCTTTTTAGGGTTAAAATCCGTTAAAAATAGGCAATTATACCATTTTTTAGATGTTCGAAAATCCTAGGACAGGCAGGCAAGCAAGAAATTTTACAACAAATGTTTCGCAAATTCTAGAGCTCAAATCGTCTTCCGAACAGATATTCTTCCGAAAATTGTCGTTGGGTGCCCCTGATATATGCTAATTCTATACAATACAATACAATGCAATAAAATATTTTATACAAGAGATAAAAACTAAAGTTACAAAATATATCTCGAAAGGTGATGTCTAGAGGTTAACCCTGTATAAAAGATTCCCCAAAATAAAAGATGAAAAGGTAAAATCTGGAATCTAAAACATTGAATACATAGAGAAAAATCTAAAACCTAAAAGCTAGAATAAAAAACATCATTTGCATATCGTAATTGAAACTATTTACAGTCGTATTAATCAATATTCATAGAATCCTTAATGTGTTGCTAAATAAAGTCAGCGATCCTGCGTGTACAACATCTTTAGGCAAGTTATTCCACTCCTTAACGATCCTACAAAGAAAGAATATTTGTAGCATTTTAGGATGGCAACTTTTACATACAGCTTATGATCGTGATTGGTTCTAGTTCGATTACACTTGGTAAGTTCAAAAAACTCTGAAAAAGAAAGGCTATCGATTCCAAAGACTATCTTGTAGCACAGAACTAGAGATAAGAATTTTCTAAGTTTCTTTTAACTCCTTTTTTTTTTTTACTTACTTGAAAATGACCGAAGATCGGGGGAAACGTCGTTTTTTATCCGTGATTTGTACTGATACTGTACATGTCGTATGAAAGTCCTTAGATCAATTTTTAAAGTGGGGATGTGTCTTATTCTACAACGTCTGTAAATAAATGATTAAATAAATAAATACAGTTAATGTACTTGTAGTGTGAAAATCCTTAGATTTATTTTTAAAGTAGGGATGTGCCTTGTTTACTTCTGTTTTGTTCCTGTATTAGAGAGTAGATAAACTATGAAGGTATGGCGATAATGAACACTGCAAGCAGAGTCTCGTTTTGCCTTCTTCTTATTGGTCGAGGTAGAAAAAAGGAGACTTGGCCTGAAGCGTGTCAAGCCCAAGTCAAAGTCAAGCCCTTGTCAAGCCCTGCCTAGTCCCTCGGAGTACACAGCTCGGTCAATCCTGGACTCTACTGTGAGCTGTGACGTCACCGAGAGACTCGTCCGCCCTTTCCCAGACTTCGCGCGGACAACGGGCAAGGAGAGATAGCCTAGGGACTAGGTTGCGTCAAGTCAATGCCTGCTCAATTGCCTGCTCAACAAAGATCTTTCGGATCAGTTTAGGTTTCTGGAAAACTGCCCACCTACCCCTCCCCTAACTCAACGTTAACATTTGCGTCTCACTTGGGGCCAAATGTTGGGCTTGGGGAGGGGTAAGTGGGCAGTTTCCCAGAAACCTAAATTGATTCGATCTTTCATCGAGCAAGCAAAAGAAAGGCCCTGCAGACAAGGTGAGATGTTTTTGCCGTGAGCATAATTCCGGTTCAGAGTAGTACTGAAGCCGGACCTCGACAGACTGTGTGCTTCTGTTCCAGGGAAGTTCCAAAGAAAACTTCCAGGGGCAAATCCAGTGAGAGGTGTGAAGAAAGGGGTCTGGGCCGCCCTTTTTGGTAACTGAAAGCCTTAGTGCTTCCATTATTAATTTATTACCGTAAGTTCTAATTAAGTCTTCTTTTTCTTTCATTTGCAGCTCTTGTGACCAAGGTTTTCCCCAACACTGAAGTTTCAAAAATTAATGAAATTCTTTGACCCTTCCTAAAAAAAAAAGGGCAAGGAGTGGCAAGAAACATACCGCAAATGATTAAGCTTTTTTGAGATGTTAATTTTATTTTAATTTTCTTTCTAGGTGCATGACATGAACAAACTAAAACCACAATGTACTATATTTTTTATCACATCATTCAGTTTTATATGTCATCATAATCATGGACAAAGTTTTTAAAGAAATTCATTTTTTGTATACATGTGTGTTTAAAAACATGGGATAGACACAGTTAAGGTAGAATATGTTTGGAATAAATTTTTATGATCAATACATAGATGAAATTAAGATTAGTTTGGTATGCTTAAACTGACTTTTGACTCAGCATTGCTATAATAGTCATTTTAATAATAGTGCAAGTCAGGCAGCTGTGTGGACTATATTCTATAAGACTGACCACTCAAGGTAAACCCTGAACAAGTATGCAGACCCTGTAACTTGATCCTGGCCAGGCTGGCCGAAGTTCTTTGGCAAGCTTGACCAATTTTTGGCCCCAGCCAGCCGCAGCCAGTGCAGGCCAATTGCAGGCTAAAATTTTCTGCTTTTCCTTGGCAGGTTTTTGCCAGTTTTGACCCTGGCCAACCGCGGCCTGTCCAGGACATGCAAACCATTTACAGGGTTGTCAGGAAGTTTTGAAGTACACAGCTGAGTTGTCAAAGTAAGCTGCCAGTCCAGGAATATTTTAGTTTAAAAACGCAATCTGTAAAATAAAGCCAAGCCAAGTAGCCAGCCGATACTAACCATGTAGCCGGCCCTTTTGCCGGTAGCCGGCTACTTTTGACATCCATGCATTTACGTTTTTTGCTTTGCCTTCTCAATTTTAGCCTCCGCCAACTGCGGCCAGGCCAGGCTGGGCTGCCACTGTGGCCGTGGCTTTCCCGGTTTTTTAATCTCTTGGCCGACCCGGCCGAAGCCCAGTCTCACCCCGGCTTTCAGGCCAGGCTTTGACCCCTGTCTGGCCAGGTTCCTGATGCAAGGGCAGACATCTGACATCGGACAACAAATAACAGAACAGATGTCTGACATCGAACACCAGACGTCTGACATTAGACAACAAACATCAGATGTCAGAAAACAGATGCTCATGTCAGACATCTGACAACAAACATAAGACATCAGATATCAGACGTCTGACATCAGACGTCTGACATCAAACAACACACATCAGATGTCTCACATCAGACAACAGACGTCTGACACCAGACAACAAACATCAGACACCTGACATCAGATGTCTGACAACAGACGTCTGAAATCAGACTTCAGACAACAAACATCAGACCTTGGACATTAGATATCAGACGTCTGATGTTTGTTGCCCGATGTCAGACGTCTGATGTCTGACAACAAACATAAGACATCAGATATCAGACATGTACATCAGACAGACTTCAGACAACAGACGTCTGATACTAGACATCTGACATTGGACGTCCGCCATGAGACATCACACGTCTTATGTTTGTTGTCTGACATCAGGCAACACACATCAGACGTCTGAT